GGATGTCTGGATTAGGATTAAATGATGTAGGAACTATGATCTCTTTTGCAAACTCTATCATTTTATCCAACACTTCATGAAAAATTTTATGAATTGTTTGTGTTGAGTGTTGGAACCTGTTTTTCAACACTCTATAACGTTGATTGTGACCTATAATCATCAAGAAGATAGCCATTTTTTCTTCAAACCAATATATGTTTGCTATCCGTTAACCAACCTTTTGTTTTAAAGTGATCACATAATCGAATGAAAGCTTCACAGGACATGCGCAACAAGTCAATACATTGTCGATCACTACCTTCAAGTAGCTCATTCGTAAATTGGCGTCAAGTCATTGCAAACATATTATCTCTTTTCCTTTTTCAGCGCCTTTGTCGCAAGTAGAACATATATAAAAATACGACCATGAGAACTATAGTGTTGGTATTGTTATTAATGATGATTTGATTATTATCCATGATAAACCTGCTAAAAACATAAATAAAATGTCAAATAGAAGTAAACTTTGATATCAAATGCATTACCAAATAACAACTAGTTCAACATCCAAAACATGTAACCAAATTGTCAAATATCAAACACATAAGCAAATAACATGTTCAAATACAAATCACATAAARAAGTAACTTGTTCAAATTCCTAAAACTAATCCATAAGCCCCATTCGTCTAGCCGTCCTTGAAATCCATGATGTTAATATATCAGCGTCTAAAGGAATCGACAACCATGTCTCTCTTAATAATGTTGACTGCCCAAAAATGTCAATGGCTGCACCATAAAGAGGACTCCTTTTATCAAGGCAAAGAGTGTCCAACTGTTCAAGACAAGCATTTAGGTTTGAGGCTTGTTGTGCAACAAGTGCAGTTTGTTGTTCAACAAGTGTGGCTTGTTGTGTAACAAGTGTTTGAAGTGCACCCCTCATTTCTAGAGCCAATTCATCCATGTCGACCTTGGTTTTACTCTTCTTCTTCGGTCTAAATGGAATTGTGCTCGCAATATTGACGGTTGGTCCTTCCTCCTCATCTCCATCCACCTCATTTTCAGTTTCTTGAGTAGTAGGGATATTGGATGTAAATGATGAAGATGAAATTGTAGTCCTCTCACGGGTTGAACTAGGGGCATAAGCACGAGATCCGGTAGCAGAAGTCCCCTCAAACAAAGCTATACATAAATCAGGGTATACCAATGGTGCAGTCTTTAATGTTCTTGCCTTGGGATGCCCCTGCGTCCAAATTAAGTATTATTATTTATATAAAACTCGTGTTTTTGTCTATAATATCTAAAAAGGTAAAAAAGAATAAAAACTAACCTTGAAGAAATCTTCCCATTCTTGATTAGTTAGGGTGAACGTATTCATTTCAGGGTCATAAATATTCTCTGTTTTATTCCTTAGGTACACCCATCCCGAATACTTTCCCTTCAAATAATCATATTGGTTTTTCAGTTGTTTCTGGGTGATTTTACATGGCAAACTTCCTCAAGTTTGGTTGCCACTTTCACCCAAGTCTCCTTGCGAAGACTACCTCCATTTCGACCCACTTTATGGACCTCTTCTATACAAGTCTCTAGAAACCGTTTGGTAAGTTCGTTTGTCCACTTCACACGCACATTATCATCCATGACTAATAAATCAAGCAGAAAAGATAAAAACAAGCATTTAATGACAAGATACCATTTAACCAACTTCAAAGTAATCACAAGCATGATATCAACCAAAAACAAGCCACTAAACATGCAAGAAACAATCAGAAAATTGAAAGAATTACCACAGTTTCAATTTTATTCTATAATAAAACCATTTGATTTAGATTACAAATACTACAGTCAAATCATAATCACTGGCTTATAAGCTCCAAAAAGCCAAATGAAACAGGAATATTAGCATCAAAGCAACCAAAATGTTTCAAAATCCAAAAGGGGCAAACAGAGCAGCTATCAATCAAATATTTATGTATATTCCTCATATTCGGATGGACCTAAAACTGGTACTGGTTCTTGTACAATAATGTACCCTTATTCTGTATGTACAGATGTTGGTTCTACCATGGTCTATGGATATTCTCAACCATATGGAATAAACAGCAGCTACTAATACCCCCCCCCCCCCCAAATTTAAAAGGGCCAAATAAAACAAAAAGGGGGAAAAACAGGTGTTACACATTGATCTGGCCGAGTTTCGTGATTCGATTATTTCAAGATCAAACCAAGAAAGTTTGTTGGGTTTTTTGCAGGACGAAGGAATTTGTGTTTAGGGCTTGGACTTGTTCTGAATCAATACAGTTGAAACCAAAATCAATGGATTTAAAGGAGGAGCTGAACAAGAATCTTTATGAACCTCTGGAGCCATATGCTACTGGGTTCTTCCCTTGAGGTTTACAGTAGGTGATACTTCTATTYTAACCAACTCTACTTCAGCCCCACTATGCATATGAGACGTAACAATGTGTATTAATGAACCAGTGATGTAAAATTGGTTGCAGCCTCTTAATTGTCCCTCCAAATCTCTAAAAACAAACAAACAAACTACAGAGATCACCAGCAATTCAGCATTATTTTGGGGTGAGTATCTCAGCTTTTTACTCTATATAACTTCCTGATCATAAATTGGCCATAAAGTTAGGTCAGTTTATGTACATAAAAAACCCCTTATAGGATTTCAACCGTGGGGTTCACATACAAAAACCCTTTATAGGAGGTAAACCCTAAACCATTTTTTGAACCAGGCAAAACAGAAACCAAGCAAGGAGAAAGAAAATCGAGAGATTGAGAGCTTGAGAGATCGAGATGGATACCTTAAATCGAGCGATGGAGAGGTACAAGACGGTAGGCGAGAGCTTGAGAGAGAGATCGAGAGGTAGAAGACGGTCGGYGAGAGCTTGAGAGAGAGAGATCGAGAGGTAGAAGACGCAGCGATGGAGAGGTTACGGTCGGCGAGAGCTTGAGAGGGTAGCGACGCAATAATAAGAGCTTTTAAGTGAAAATGTTAGCTCTAAACAATTCATACATAATCAGAGCTTTTAAGCTCTTAATTGGGAAAAAAAAACAAACACACTTAATACCCTAAGGTCTGACCGATTCAGACATAAGAGGGTATTAAGTGATTTTTTTTGTAAAAACAAACAGGGCCTTAGATTCCCGTTCTCAACCCATGATCAATATGAGCTCGAAGCTTCCTTCGTAACTCTCAGAACTTCTTCATAGTGGCTCCCTTTCATGCCTCATTTCCTAGGGAACCTCAAATAGCTCTATTTCATTTATCTCATCCATATCCCAATTCCATTCATTTAATATCCTTTTGGTATCATTGACATAACATATGTCATTTCTATTCTATCGCTTTCTATTTCTTTTCTATAACGCTTTTTATTGTGATTTTTGAGTATTTTTACTTTCCGATCTATTATTTCAAAAAAAGAATATAATTATAATAAAGAATATAATTATAATTATTGTAATTATAGTAGCATTTATTTAAGAATTTTTTTTTAATTGTATATTCAATGATGAATGTTGTATTAATTAGAGTCTATTAGAGTATTTAAGAATATWTAAATATAGTAAGATAATAGAATAAATATATAAGAGAGGATATAGAGCGGGTAGCGGGAATCGAACCCGCATCGTTAGCTTGGAAGGCTAGGGGTTATAGTCGACGTCGATTCATCATTTTTAACGTCTCTAATTCAAAACCGAACATRAAACTTTGGTTTCATTCGGCTCCTTTATGGAAAATGGATAAATTGTTAGATTTCAGATGTGAACCAACTTACAAAAAAAATTATACCCATAACATCTATGTCAGCTTTTTGTTTGAATATATTCAATTCAAAACGACTCGCTTTCTAGATGATCCCTTTAGAAGAAAGCGAGTCTAACAATCTTTCTAGCTACTTCGTTCTCTATTTCTATTACTTGAAAATTAGCACTAAATAAATAGGAAGTGAAATTACCAAAAAACCCTTCAGATAACGAAATACACATTTTTAATTTAGGCGTATAATAGTCTTTAACTTGTTAATATTTTAAAAACTCAAAATAATGAGAAAATTCTTTTAAACAAATCATACTCTTAACAATATGCGCCACAATCAAGTTTTCCTTTTATAGATAGATTATTTTAGGCTTTCCTTCGAAAGATGAATATTGTAAAATGAATGTGTATAGCAAGTTATATATTTTGAAAGTTAAAGTAATTAAATTGCAAGTCAAATTATCAATTTACAATGAAATATACATTTTTCATTTACGGATAGAGTAGTCTTTAACTTTTTTAATATTTTAAAAGAAGAAAATTGCATCAAAATGAACCAACTTTGCCCTTATTCCTGTTTTGAGAATGAACTTTTAAAATATTCATTTTAGGGTGTAAGACAAACTTTTCATTTATTTAAGAGATTTGTTTACTTTTTTTTATTAACCTGAATATCCAACCCGTTATGTGAGCCGACTAATTTCAAGACGACCACCTGCTTTATGGGTAGTCCGGAGTTATCGCATTTGAATATCTGTGGCCACATGGTTATTTTTATTTCCCATTGGATTTAGACCTGGGATCTCCAGACACTTTTAACCTTTAAAGATGAAGCTCAAACTATTCATGCACCACCCTTTTAATTGAGATTTGTCTACTTGTTGACCATCTAACGTGTTATCAAATGATGTGGCAAGAATTAAAAAAACTTAAATGAATATTCTAATATTTTTAACGAAAATATATTTCCAAAAAGAAAAGGTTAAACAAACCTTAATCCCAATCCACCTTTCCGCCTACATCATCCTCACCTTCAACATACTACAAAATTGGTAGGTAATTCAAATCAGTGATAGATTGTTCAGAAATTCTTTGAGTGATGCATTAGTATTTTTTTTAAAACTTCAGATTCTACCAAACTATTGGTATTTTCTGGGTAATTTATAGGTAATTACGGACGGAAATTTCTCATTGTGATTTTTGTGGGTAAAAGTCATTTTGTTTTGTAGTGATACCCTTTCTGATAGTTGTTGTGAATACCCATCTAACTTAGGTGACTATTGTTAGGTCAAATATTATTGTATCTGAGATCATCGAGATTAAAGATTGAGGAGGTCAAAACTTAAAGTCAACTTAGTCAGCAAAAGTCAATATGGTGCTTAAATGTAGTTTGACTTTATATTAGTCAAGGTGTATAAATTGCTTTGTATTGTTAGTTGGTAGTTAATCTTGTTTGAACTGTCGTAGAGATTGTACATACTCATATTCAAGTCCAGCATTGTAATTTCCTCTAATCAATATACAAGCCGAATTCTCAAATTTTCAATTGCTATTTTTAGACTGTTGTTTTAAATCATTCAAACTGGAATTAACAATTGGTATCAGAGCAGAAGATCAACAATAATTTTAATTGAAAAAGTCGATTGTAAGTTTTTGATTTTGAAATTTGATATCAATTTAGTCGATTCTTGGCAGTTATACAAGAACTAAAGTTGATTGACATTGATTTTTGAGTGTCATATTCAAATTTGAAAGAATTTGGATAAATTTTGAGTAGTAAATCAAAATCTGGAGTGAAATTATTCAAGATCTTCAAAGTTATCGCATTGTATATATTCATAGTTATCGCGTGTATATTCAAAGTCATCGCATTTGTTATACGCGACAAGCTGAGGTTATCACATCATAAGGACCCAACAAAGTAAGGTTAGCGCATTATAAGGACTAGAGAAAGTAAGGTTATCGTATCATAAGGACCCAACAAGTTAAGGTTATCACATCAGGTTAATGCGACAAGTTATTGTTCAAGCGTAGTTGAATGCGACAAGTTAATTGGGTGCGACAAGTTTGTGGGATGCGTCAAGTTATTCAAGAAGGGTGCGGTAAGGTGTTAAGTTCAAGTTTGATGCGATAAGATGCGACAAGTTGATCAAGTTTTGCTTGTTGCGGTGACAAAATGTATTTTTATTAAAAATACATAACTACGGTAGGATGAAATGTAATTTATGAGTTGTTGCCTGTTAGAGATGTTGGAATACAATGAATATGCCGTGGATGTTTTGGATATAAATTATTTTGGTATAGTAATAGAATGAATGTCTAAGTGGTGTTTTAGATGTAAAATATTTTGGTGCATAGTAAATTATATAATCTGTAACAATCCGTAAAATTTCACATAACAAATACCACAAATGTTATACATAACATGTCATATTGGGTCTCAACTTACAAAGCTGTAACAACTGTCCAAAGACTATCATAAATTTTTTGCCACCAGTAAATTTCATACCAGAAGGTATAACATCATAACCAGAATGTTAAAAGCAGCTTTCACAACATTCTTCAACAAGCTTTACATATGAAACTGCAATTAACATCATTTTACACTCTTCCTTTACCCTCTATAAGTTGTTGTCCTAAAATGCGTATTTTTTAAAACAAAATGAGAGTTAGACCATACGGTCTAATGTGGAAATCTCTGCAAGTGTACATTATACAAAAACATTAAAAATCAAGCTTTTAAATTATGCACCAGGTAATAAAATTTTCAAATGATATAATCCAACCACAGATAAGATAAATAATTGGTTCTACATCTCCTTCAATTACACGTAGGCCCAAACGGCTCAACCCTACCTTTAAATTCACGTTGGCCCAACTGGCTCAACGCTAGCACTATATACACCTCTGCCTTACACACTTGTTGACCCAACTGGCTCAACGCCAACACCATATACACCTCTTCGTTACACACTCATTAGCCCAACTAGCTCAACACCGTCTTAACATACACCTCTTCATCACACATTCCTTGGCCCAACTGGCTTAACCCCGCCACCACATAGACCTCTCTATTACACATAATCTTGCTGATACACTTTATACAGTAATCGGATAATCATACCAAATAACACTTCCTTTTCACGAGGAAATAATTTTCATATCATATGCATTTAAGCTCAAAGGTTCATAATAAAATCCACATATGCTAATTTCCAACAACATGTATTCAAATATAATATCACAGTTAACGGTCATAATCCAACCATACTAAACTGATATAATATCAAAATAATAACATTTCATAATATATGCATTTCAGTTCTTAAATGGTTATAAGAAAACTCACCTTGATTATGATATACGATGATAAAAACTTTGATCGTACGAACGACTGAAACCGAATGTGAATCCAACACCAAACATGTAAATGAATCAAAGAAGTACAGTTACAGTTTGAATGATTTAACCCAATCCAACACTCTAAATAACCTCTAGGGAACCTAAATGATACCCGAAAGACCCCAAAATGATACAAGGTAGAAAACGAAAAAACCACAAAGTAGTGGTTAACGCGACTTGCACGCTTCTTTAAGTCGCGGGCGAAGTCGCGCCGGCTTTTTTTTTTTTTTTTCTTTCTTCTCTATTTTAAAACCAACAACTTTCCCTTGTCGAAAACAGGTTCCAACCTTCCAATTTAACTTTAATTTTATGGATTCAAATCACCATAAAACAACTTTTTAAGCATATTAAAAGCTTCCAATTCTTGAATTTAACCAAAACTCTAAATAAAACAAATTATTAAAGATATCTTTATTCAAAAGATGGAGGAAAGCCATTAGTCATACTACTAAAAAATTGATGGTTAAATAAAAATTCCAAGAACACCAAACTTTATGAATAAACTTACATAGATTTAAAAACTTCATAAAAGCTTGACCTAGCTAATATGGAAGATGACAACTCCATAACCATAAGAAATATTTCTTCCTCAACTTAACCCACAAATCAAATATGATAAGTAAAATAAGATAATAATTTTTACATTCAAACATAAGAAATAATGAAACTCTAAGTGGTTATTTGACAGTTGTTGAATGGTTTGGTGCAGAAAGATTAAGAGGCTTTCATGATATAGTGCAAAATGATATATAATTGTTTGGTAATTGTTTACAATGAAATTAGTGCGTTTAATGGTTAAGAAAGACCCATGATGCAAAATCATTCAAAGGATTTTATAACCATTAAAAAGACTTTTTTTTACCAAACAAGATTCACATCTTAATAATTCAGATATTGTCTTTTAATGAAACTGTTAAGAAATAAACAAACACCCCTAAACCCCTTTTCTTTCGTACTGCCAAAGTCACTCCAAGAACACACACAAAAAGAGATTTCGGAAAGCAATTTTATCTACAAATCAGAAGAGACAGTGATGGTTGTGGGTATCTATACCACCAATTTTCCATTCAAACCCACAACAAAGAAAACTTAACACAAACAACCCCTACACTCTCAAACTTTCTAAGAAAATATAATGCAACGGTATTTTATAATCTTCCAATACAAAATGATTCGGCGAGGTATATACGCAATATTAAGCATTAATCTTTCAAATTAGCTTATAATGTTTGTCTTGTAACCTAATTTAGCTCAAAGACCTAAAATTGATGATACACACCACATTAAATAAAGAGAAATTCCAAATTTACATAGTTTAGCCCAACATTACCTTAAATTGAAAGAATTCTTGAACTCAAAACCCTATGGCCAAAACATCCTTCTTTAAATCAAAAGATCCACAGATGTGCTCAAATTCACCTTCAAAAGCAAATCTAAGATGATTTTATGAAGAAAAACCCAATAAAAAACGTTGAAGACATTAATTTACTTACTTCAGAAAAAAAATGTCTCCTCATTGATGCAACTCTACTTACTTCAGCTCTTAAGTTACCCTAAAATTACTTAATGAAAAAACCTAACAACATCCTGATGATGGTTGCTCCGTATCTCGAATGTATCTGCCATGCTCTTGATTTTCAAGCCTAAAATTTATGATGGAGATTGAAGAATAATGGATGGAGCGAGTATTTCCTTATGAGTATGTTCCTCTTAACTCTAAGTTGACTATCTTCATTCTGTGTCAATTTATCGCAATTGCATTTCTCTTGCAAATCATAAAGTTATACAAAGTTTCTGTTGTTCTAGTATTTAGTTAGTTACTCGTTCGATTCCGTAATTACTTTATTGAAGTCTCCTTTTTTTGCTCTTTTTATGCTTAAGAAAAGCCATTGACTAATTAAAATGGATTGTTTAGCTTAATGGTTATAATCCAATGCATGTTATATAAATCTCAAGTTTGATCATCAAATGATGAATATATAGATGGGTTATAAAATAAAATTGCAGTCAACTCTGTTGGTAAGTTCAACATTTGAATATTATCTACTAAGGCCATATATGGGCATGACTTGCCGAAACATAGAAGTGTTACTGTATATGGTCCATGTTTTATAGTAGTCTTGAAAATTTATCGATTCAGTTAACATAAATCAAGACCATCTGTTTTTAGTAGCTCAAATCCATAATCCATCAAGCATCAAGTATTTATCAATCATTCGTTGTTCTTGCAGCACATATCAGAGTCCCTTAATATTCAATTTCTTAGTCGCACAAATCTAGAAATCAACGTTTTGATACGGGAGTTTGTTTTTATCATGTCAAATTTGTCGTTGATTCAAAATCGCCCTATCTCAGTTGTATCAGATGGTCACAACTATGTCTTATGGCATCATCATATGACAATCCATCTCAAGTCTCGAGTGCTTTAAGTTACGGTATGGTATGGCTCCTATTAGAATCTCCTATTTTCAATCATTATTGCCTCCACCGATCATGCCCAATCATTGCCTTATTGGTTCTCCATAATTTACGTATTCTTCTCATTGTATTTCCATAATTGTAGTTTTGATCTTTGTATTTATTCGATGGTTGTGTTCGATGTATTCACAGAAAAATATATGAAACAAATGAATGTTTCTCACCATCATTCTTAAGATGGTATCAGAGCGGTTCAAATAGTAAGACACAAGGTTAGTGATCGCCACCATGACAGGCAACGATGGAGGCACGAAGAAGGAAGGCTCGCCGGATATCAATACTCCTTTCTACATTCATGCTTCGGATTACCCGAAGCAAATGCATGTCAACGACACCCTCACCAACAATAACTGCACCGATTGGTCCCAAGAGATGTTAAATTTTCTCTTTGCCAAGAACAAGGTCAGATTCGTTGATGGTACGTTGAAGAAACCCGAAAAAACAGCCACCGATTACATGGCGTGGATGCGTTGCGACGCTATGGTAAAAGGTTGGCTTACGACGGCTATGGAGAAGGACATCAGGGGTAGCGTAAAATAGGCCAACACTGCCTCTGAAATCTGGTCAGATTTACGCGAAAGGTTTGGGAAGGAAAGCGCCCCTCGCGCTTACGAGTTGAAGCAAACACTCTCCAACACACACCAAAGTGGGGTTTCAGTCTCAGCCTACTACACAAGGCTGCATGGCCTCTGGGACGAGATTGAATCTATGCTACCAGCCCCTTGTTGCACCTGTGACAAATGTTCATGTGGAGTCGGTAAAAAGATGAATGAACTGCGGGAAAAAGGAGAAACTATACAAATTTCTGATGGGTTTGGATGCCGACTTTGCAGTAATCAAAATCCAAATCCTTGACATGAATCCCATACCAACACTAGGGATTTCCTATCATCTAGTTGCTGAAGATGAAAGGCAAAGGATGATATCAGGTGAGAAGAAAACGCCCCCCGAAAGCACTGCGTTCAAGGCTTTCAAACCGATCCTGCGCCAGAACAATGCGAGTCAAAATAAAGCCGCACCAAAGTATCGTAAACGTGGAGACACGGACGAACAGTGCACTGAATGTGGAAGAAGTGGACACAAACGAGATGGTTGTTTCAAGATAATTGGTTATCCGGATTAGTGGCCGGGTAAAGTGAAGCTGAAAGCTGCTCATGTTGAGACTGAAGCTAGCCCCGTTCCAGGTCTCACAAAGTAGCAGTATCATTCCTTCTTGAAACTTTTTGCTGAAAACGATGTCAAAGACGGTAATGTTCGGATGGCTAACATGGCAGGTAAAAGGGGTTGGGATAGTGATTGGGTTGTGGATTTAGGGTCCACAGAACATATAACTCACGATGAAACAATTCTTAATACTAAAATTGTTTGCTCAAATGAGGAACCTGTTGTTATCCCTAATGGCAATGCCATACATGTGAAGGGAAAAAGGGAATGTACCCTAGGGGGGGGGGTAAATTAAAGGGAGTTCTTTGTATCCCTGAATTTAATTGCAGCCTTTTGTCAGTGAGTCGATTAACCAACAATCTTCAATAACATTTTTTATGAAATTTTGTGTTATGCAGAAGCTCCACACGAGGAGCTTGATTGATGCGGATAAATGCATAAAAGGTCTATACCGAATGGGGTTCTTCAATGGCGAAAGAAGAGCTATGATGACTACCGGGAATACTTGGCATAAAAGGTTGGGACATGCATCTGAAGATAAGCTTGTTGCAATTGATTTTCTCAAAAATATTACTTTAGACAAATTGTGTGACTCTTGTTCTAAGGCCAAACATACTAGGCTACCTTTTTCAAATAGTTTCATAAAGACAAATGCTTGCTTCGATTTGATACATTGCGACATTTGGGGAAAGTATCGTACTCCATCCTTCTCGGGGGAAAACTTCTTTTTGACTATTATAGACGACTATAGTAGAGCCACATGGTTATTCCTCCTAAAGCACAAACATGAAGCTAGCACGTGGTTAAAGTTTTTTTTGCAATATGGTGAAGACTCAATTTGAAAGACATGTCAAGAAAGTTAGATGTGATAATCGGGGGGAGTTCACGTCTAACGACATGACTGATTTTTATAATGAACGGGGGATTTTACTTGAAACCACTTGCCCGCATACACCCCAACAAAATGGAGTTGTCGAATGGAAACACCAGCACATACTCGAAGTTGCTCGATCACTTAGATTTGAAGCAAATTTACCAAAGAGGTTTTGGGGTAAATGCATTTTAACTGCCACCCACATCATTAACCGATTGCCATCAAAGGTTATTGATGATAAAACTCCTTTCGAGTTGGTTTTCAACCAAAAACCCGATTATGACAATATGCGGGTTTTTGGTTGCTTGACGTACCATCGGAACACCGACACAAGAGGAGATAAATTTGAAGAAAAGGGGAGGCCCGGAGTGTTCATGGGATATCCACAAGGAACAAAAGGCTACAAAATTCTTGACATCAAAACGAGCAAAATCATAATCTCTAGAGACACCAAATTTTTTGAAGAAAAATTCCCTTTCAAGGGTGATGATGATCTAATTTATGAAGAAGTAGATGCCCTTGACCCTTTGAACAAACCCATTTATGATGATATTAAAAACCACATGAAACCTACTGTTGATGAAATCCACATTGATGAAAGCACCTCAAGTGAGGAGTCAAATAAAAACAGTGTGGCTAATGAGCCCAGTGAACCTGATGGAACCAATGATGCTGATGAGCCCAATATCAATCCTACCTTGAATGAAATTGAAGCCGAAGATATTCTGGGCCAAATCTCAGGCCCACCCAAAGAGACCACCGAAGGTAATGAGGCGCAACCGGATATTCCTGAGCCCACCAGAGTTAAAAGGAACAGGTCCCAACCGGCTCGTTTAAGCGACTATCACATGAAGCTTCCCCCATCGGTCGACCATGCAAAACCCGCACCAAGTGAAGCATCCTCAACGGTACACCCCGTGTCTAACTTTGTGTTATATGAAACATATTATCTATCTCACAAAGCATTTTTAGCAGCCATTACTTCTAGTAATGAGCCAAGGAATTTCAATCAAGCCATCTAGGATGAAAGATGGAAATAAGAGATGAAGAAAGAGATACGAGCTCTTGAAGAAAATGACACATGGACCCTAGTTGATCTTTCGAATGGAAAACGTGTTGTCGATTCAAAATGGGTTTATAAAATAAAATATAAATCAAATGGAGAGGTGGAGCGGTTCAAAGCTCATCTCTTTGCAAAGGGGTTTACACAAATGGAGGGGGTTGATTACCACGACACGTTCGCCCCGGTCACAAAGTTGGTTACTGTTAGAACACTTCTGGTCGTAGCTGTTAAGAAAAGATGGATCATTAACCAACTAGATGTCAATAATGCCTTTCTGCATGGGGATCTAAACGAAGAAGTTTACATGAAGTTGCCACAAGGTTTTGCTAAAGAAAATGACATGAGAGTTTGCAGGTTGAATAAATCTCTCTATGGTCTGAAACAGGCATCCCGAAATTGGTACCAAAAGTTTACATTATCTCTTCTTGAGCTTGGTTTTAAGCAGTGCAAAACAAATTACTCCCTTTTCATCTTCAAGAAGGATGCGTGTTTCGTGGCAGCACTATCTATGTGGACGATGTCATCATGGTAGGGAATGACGTAAAAAAAATACAACATACTAAAGAGGAACTTGACAAATGTTTTTGCATCAAAGATTTAGGCGCTCTAAAATACTTTCTTGGTATAGAAGTTGCTCGTACTCCTGAAGGCCTCGTTCTAAGCCAAAGAAAGTATATTCTGGATATCCTTGAAGATTGTGGGCATCAAGGGTGTAAACCAAGCCCGTTCCCTTTCGAGCAGAATTTGATATTAGATAAAAAGGATGAAGAATCCAAAGTTGATGCTAGTCGATACCACTACTTGGTAGGCCGTCTCCTCTACTTACAAGCCACTAGACCCGACATTGCTTATTCGGTAAATGTGCTAAGCCAATTTACGGCTGATCCGAGACAAAGTCACATGGATGCAGCACACCAAGTGTTACGGTATCTAAAGGGAACAGCTGGGCAAGGAATTCTTTTACCTCGAGATGGTGGTTGTAATCTCACCGCATACTGCGACTCTAATTGGCTTGGCTGCCTTATTACCAGAAGATCTAGAACGGGATACCTTCTCCTTCTTAGAGGAGCACCCATTTCATGGAAGACAAAGAAACAAAATGTGGTATCACGTTCCTCTGCCGAAGCAGAATACAGGTCCATGGCCTCCACGATGAGTGAAATTTTATGGATGCGGTGGCTTCACAAGGGGCTAAACATCGACTTCACTAAACCAACTCCTCTTTTTTGTGACAATCAGGCGGCCAGACACATCGCTAATAACCCTGTTTTCCATGAACGAACCAAGCATGTAGAGATGGATTGCTATTTCGTTCGGGAGAAAGTTGAGTCTCAAGAAGTATAGCCCCTACGAATTCATACTAGCATGCAAATTGCGGACCTGCTCACAAAAGGATTGGGCACTCAACGACTTAAGTTCTTACTTGACAAGTTGGGCATTAGAAACCTACAAGCTCCAACTTGGGGGGAGTATTAGAATCTCCTATTTTCAATCATTATTGCCTCCATTGATCATGCCCAATCATTTCCTTATTGGTTCTCCATAATTTACATATTCTTCTTATTGTGTTTCCATAATTGTAGTTTTGATCTTTGTATTTATTCGATGGTTGTGTTTGATGTATTCACAGAAAAATATATGAAACAAATGAATGTTTCTCATCATCATTCTTAAGAACTCCATCATTCGAAAAGGAGAAAAATGAAACTGATGTATCTTTTGCAAAGAGACTAGATGATTGGGACATTAAGAATGCTAAGATTTTGGGATTCATTAATGCCTAAACTGCTACAGATATTCATTATCAATTCTTGGGGTATACAACTACAATGGCAGTTTGGGATTTTCTTGCCAAACGATTTACAACCGCTGGTCTTTCTCATCAGTATCAATTGTGGTCTTCCTTTTAGAGCATACAACAACAACCTGATCAATCTATCAGGTCATATGTGTCGGAGATGCAAGTTATCAGAGATCGGTTGAACTTAGTTGCACCTAAGATTTTTGATGAGACGCCTCGACAGTTTCCTGCATATTTTAGTCAGTTACACTTAATCAATTTATTGATGAGTCTTATTCACAGGTTTGAGAATGTTCGAGCATCGTTTCTATAAGACAACCTCTTCCTACTTTGGATGATGCTATTTCAGAATTGTTGAGTGAATAAACCAGAATTCAACCTCGTTTACAAGCACCATCCAACACTATTCTTCATGTATCTTCATTGAGTAACAAGGGTAAAGCTAATGATTCTAAACTTGTAGCAAAATGGAATACCGGTGAGTGCTCTTTTTGTCACTCTACACCCCACTTGCTACTAAACCGACCAGTACACTTTTGTAAGTGGTGTAATGTGAAGCATCCACGACTATATTGATTTGACTGCTCGAAACATCCAAAGAATTTTAATTCTTAATGACAGTAGTTTTGCTCGAAGCCTATAGCAAGGTATATCACTTCTGAGATGTCCAAGTCTAAGACACACACCAATATTGTTGTTCTTTAAGTGATCTCATGGAGCTTTAATAAGAAGGAATCAAGAGTTGAAGGAACAACTCATGTCAGGTTCAATAGGTACAAATGAACTCATACCCTCTTCAAGTAACTTGTAATTATTTGATGCAGGTTGTTGCAATCATATGACCCCAATACTCAGACATATTTGTTAATAAACAACCACCACATTCTTTTCAATTTGTCTGTATAGTTGATGGAACTCGCTTACTAGTATCATTTAGTTGGCATGTTTCCATATCCCACTTACATCTCCCCAATGCAGTCCATGTTCCCAATTTATCTCTTAGTGTATATCTATTACTCAATTATATGACTCTGATCTGATTGTTACCTTTTCTTCTTCTGGTTATGTTGTGTAGGATCCAAAGACCCAGGATACTCTTGGAATAGGCCCTAAAGTTGGTCAAATGTTTGAAGTGGTCTATATTTGCGTGCCTTTGCCTTCATCTAGTTTTGTTGTGTCTACATTTAGTCCTTCGTCTTTTGACATGTGGCATGCATATTTAGGTCATTTATCTAATTCAAAAATTAAATTTCTTTCTACTTCTGGTTTATTGAGAACTGTTAAGTCTGAGTTAATTTCTTGTTTGTCCTGTCAACATGGAAAACATCATGTTTTACCATTTAGTGCAAATGAATTTACTTTAGTGTTTGCTTTTGATCAAATTCATTCTGATGTTTGGGGACCCTCATCTCATCTTTCTATAGGGGTGCCAAGTATTTGCATGCATGATATATACACAATTCTCAAAAACCATAAAAATGCTCCATTCTAATAATGATATGGAATATAAGGAGTCATCTCTTCTATCCTTTTTGCATCAACAAGGTCTTGTGCCTCAATATTCATGTCTAGATACCTCTCAACAGAAGGTTGTGCTAAAATAAAACATGACACGTTCTCGATACCATTCATACTCTTTATATCTGCCTAATGTTCAGAACACTTTTGGGGTGAAGCCGCCTTTACCGTCGTCTATACCATCAACTGACATCCCACACCTATTCTCCAATACAAATTTCTATATGATCTCCTATATGGTATGCTACCAGCCTATGATTTATTTCACATTTGGAGTTGTGCATGTTTTATCATGTTACAACCACGTGAGTGTTGCAAACTAGAGCCTCGTTCTTGATTGTGTTGTTTCTTGTGTATGGGCTTGAGCAAAAGGGTTACCGATGATGGGATCTGATCTCTAAATGTCTTTGAATCTCTCATTATGTCACCTTCTGGGAACACAAAATATTCTCCTCACTCTCTAAATTTCAAGTAACATCCTCCTTGAATGTTCCTTTTCTTAGTGATGCCTTTATCTCTCAAGACTCACCTCACTATGAGTCCCCATCTATTATTTATTCCCCTATTGAATCAACCATGCAATCTGAATCATCAACTTTTGTTTGTCCTGATCATAATCAACCATTTGTACCATCTCCAACGACTACTTTTAATACATATTCTGACTACGAGGATCCAAGCGTTGATCAACCATAAGAACCACAAAGGTTAGATCGGGTAAGACATGTTCCCTCACATCTTCGATATCATCATTGTTATACTGCTCTCTTATCTCATCATGAACCTACTTCTTACGAGGAAGCTTCCTCTAACACACTTTGGCAGCAACCGATGCTTGAAGTGCATCAAGCACTTCAAAAGACTTAAACATGATACATTGTTCCTCTTCCACCAGAGAAGTCACTTATTGGGTCTAAGTAGGTCTACAAAGTCAAGAACAAATCTGGTGGTTTAGTTGGTAGCTAGGTATATAGCTTATCCTGTTCCTAAAGGCTTTAACCAAGAGTATGGGATCGTCTATGCGGAGAAATTTGCACCCTTTGCTTGAATTATATATGTTCATAGTCTTCTTGCTATTGCAGCAATTCGTCGTTGGCCACTCTATCTGATGGATGTTAAAAATTCCTTCCTTAATGGTGAACTTGCTGAGGAAGTGTATGTGTGACCACCTCTTGGAATAAATTATCCAACAAGTCTAGTTTTCAAGCTACAGAAAACTCTATACAGTCTCAAACAAGCACCTCATGCTTAGTTTGAAAGTTTAGCACTACTATCCTGTCTTTGGGCTTCTCATCTAGCCATTATGATTCTGGCTTGTTTACTCTCACCAATGAGACTGACACTATCTTTTTCTTCTATATGTAGATGACATGATTTTACTGGGAGTGATAGTACAGGTATAACTAATCTCAAACAATCTCTCAGCTCTTGTTTTGAGATGAAGGATTTTAGCACACTACACTATTTTATTGGTCTTAAAGTTCTCTCCGACTCCTCAGGGATCTATCTTTTCCAGACGAAATACATATCAGATCTTCTATCTATAGCAGGTGCCATGATAGCTTCTACACCTCTTAAGCATAACCTACATTTCGTTCCAGGTGCTATGTCTCCTCTTTGAGATCATACTTTATATCGACAACTGGTTGATTCACTAGTTTATCTTACCGTTACCCGACCAGATCTGGCTTATGCGATTCACATTATCAGTCACTTCATGGTTGTCCCTAGCTCTAATCGTTATGCAATAGTTCTTCATATTCTTATGTATCTTAAAGGGACTATGTTCCATGGTTTACACTTTTCATCAAACTTATTCTTGACCCTTAAAGGGTATTCTGATGTTGATTGGGAAGGTGATTTGATTGATCATCAGTCCACTTCTGGATACTGCTTGTTTCTTGGTGATTCGCTCATTTCTTGGTGAAGCAAGAAACAATCCTTAACTGCTAGATCAAGCATGGAAGTTGAATTTCGTGCTCTTACAGATACTACTCAAGAATTGATTCGGCTTCGTTGGTTGTTAGCTGACATGGGAGCTCCCTAGTCATCTCCTACTTCTCTTTGGTATGAAAATCGGTGTGTCATCCATATTTCTCACAATGATGTTTTCCACGAGCGAACGGTACATATTGAGATTGATTGCCACTTTGTTTGTCAACATGTTGGCAAGACAATTCATCTTCTTCCTATTTCCACCACGGATCAACCTGTTGATATCTTCACCGAGGCCTATTTCTTGAGTTGTTTACAAGTTCTGGTTTCCAAACTCTACTTATCTCAGTCTTCCCCAACTTGAGTGCGAGGGGGGTGTTAGTGTATATAGTCCAAGTTGGTATAGTATAAGGACTAGTCTTGACAATTTATCATAGTATTATATAGTTTATTATGTTTCTTTTTCCCATTCTTTTTTTTTTCCTGTAATCTTATGGAAGCTTTGTGCCTCTTTGGAATACATCAAGCTTTTGCCTATCTCATTCTTGTTCTTGTTTAAGGTTCCAACATAACATATATAAATCATAACACCCACTAAATTTCCAACACCTGGGATAGAAAAAACATCAACTATGCGTCATAAATACAAAAACCCATATGATATTCAAGCAAAAAGATGTACTATAATATAAAAAGGATTTAGAAACTTGAGTTCTTGTGATCAAGAACATCTCAATTCGCTTACATTCATTTCACAATTTCATTCCCTTTAAAATTATAAGAATCTTTCTTGCACCATATCTTGCTTATTTCATTCACTAAAGGGTCATTTGCTAAAGACCTACCTGTTTAGCGTTTACCAGGTCATTTGCTTTACGGATTAACATAAAAAGGGCTGAGAGTCTTACTCAGTAAGAGTGGTGATAAGGATGGAAAGTTTAAATCAGTAATTAAAGGGGACGACTCTTACCCGCTAAACGTTTACCGGGTAAATTGTTGCATACGATGTTGCTTCGATGGACTACAATCTTATCCGGTAAAGTAAGTTAAAACATTGATTCTTACCTGTTAAGCATTTGTATCTATGGCC